TGACTAAGGGCGAGGATGCGACCACGGGAAGAGGAAAGACGAGGTGTCGCTCGCTTTCTCGTTCCTGTCATCCTTTGCTTGCAAAGTTATATCTGGAAACGAGGCTGTTAAGACTTTTAAAGAAGGCGGCGCAGCTCGCACAAAGACAATTGTTAAATAAAAGTCGTGAAAGTGTCGATTCACGTGGTGCAACTCATTGGTACACGCTGTGAGAAAAAGTTTTTTGTTTTTGCGATTGGTGCATGTGGTAAATTTCAGTGAAATAATATTAAGTATTCCTTACATATGCTGCATCTAATGAAGGAAACGGGAGAATTGTTGCAGAGATTGGGCTTTTTCAACTGGTACAACTCATTCAAGTCAAACAATTGGCGAAACCTCAATAACATCGACATAAAACTGCACACTATACATGGTTTATTACAACAAAGATTGTCAAAACTTACTGTTCCTGGACGGATTAACAAAAATGTGAAGGTGACTTCACTTAGTTCTTTTAGAAATTGCGGCTCTTAATAGGGGCTAACATATAAAGATAAGTAGATAGAATTCAAGGGAAGGGAGAAAAAGCAATCGCAAAAGAGCCAGGGCAGAAGTCTGGATCCCCCTCCCCCCTGGGGACAAAGATTGTTACCCGTTGTATGACTCGCACGACTCCAGCCACCTTTGAACCCCCTTCTCTACACTACAAGATGCAGTTTCTTGAGTTGTAAGACTCGTATTTTTTATAGTAGTTATAGGTGAATGAAATTGTAATATAGCAAGATGTAACTGGAACCTTAATAAAAATAAGTGAATTGCAGTCAAAAAATGAAAGCGATAGATTTATATGAAATAAATGATATATGAGAACTGCGGAAATGAAATCAAATTAAGAATGATCCTCGCAGTTGTGAAGGCAATTTATGCAATTGCGTGTTGGGCCTGCGTGCTATATAGTGACATGATGCATTGCGGCCTCGCTTCAACCTCTCCTCTTGGCCAGCTCAACGAAATTCCGGGTACGTTACGCCGAGGTTTTGCCCCTTCCAGCAGCGTCGTCAAATGTAGCTGGTAAAATATCCCAACTTTAGTTAGAACACTCTCGATCTTTGTGCATCAGTAGAGAGGAGAAAGTGTGACTATGGTAGCAAAATTTCTGGATCTCAACAAATAGGGAGTTTAAGCAATAGGGACTTTAAGATCCAACGACGCGACGGCCTCGTCGCGTCGTTGAGGTAACCCGCTAAGGTGGGGTAACCCGCCTGTCCATATAATCTATCATTTTAATTTGATCACGTTTACATGACAGGTGGGGTGACCCGCCAAGGCGGGTAGCCCGGTCTGCCAGACCAGGTAACCCTCTCAGCCGGGGTCAAATTTTGTCATGTAACAATTCAAGGCGGGGTAACCCGCCCAGCCGGGGTCGGATTCGCAATATTGAATTCGCGCAAAATTCACTTTGGCGGTAGCTTTGCATCATTATTAAAGGTAACAATAGAAAGCCACAGCACTGGAGCTTGCAGCAAGAGCAGCAAGCGAGTGTAGAAGAGCATCAATCACCAAAAGACGTGGTTTGCCAGCATTTTTCTTGTTTACGTGCTTAGCGACCATTCAGTAATCTTGAGAAAGTGCACCCCGGGATGGCGGGGTTGTAAGATTGTATGTAAAGGAGGGTTATTTTGTTACCCCACCTTAGGGGGTTACCTCACCTATCTGGGGTCCCCCACCTTCATGTAAACAGGCCCTTAAAGTCCCTAATGACGACGGCGACGGCAACGAGAACGGTTGAAAAGCAATAAGTTTATATTAGCAAAACAACAACTTTGCACGTGCATCACGCTTTTTTGTGCATTTCTCAGCCACCGTTGCTCGACTGCGACATGAAACTTCCTAATTTCACGCGCTTGCTTTATGGAGTAGGTAAACACAACACAAAATTTCCTTTTCCTTTTTCTAAACTTAAATACGGTCCTTTAGGATTCAACCCTAGAAAATTTTGCCACCATTTGACAAATTAAATGAAACTGAATAAGATCGATTAAGTTTGAAAAAGTGCGAATTCACTTTTTAAGTGAATTTTCTGTTCATCCAGAGATTTTGCTACCATATGAACGTGACGTAATGACTTCTCCTTTCTATTAAAACGGTTTTTACAAAAGCTTGAATTCCCAAATTCAAGTTCTTGTCGAACTGAGAAACTTGCTTTATGCATATTACTGCACAGACAAAACTAATAGCGACTGCGGCCTTATCCAAATAATTGTCATTTTACAACATAAGGGACTTTTTATTTTCGAAACGACACTAGTTGTTTTTTTAAATTGGAACGTTTTTGGAACCTTTTGTTTTAATGAGCTGACAATATCATCTGTAGATAAAATATTCCTTAGTATTTTCCTGTACGGGGAGACTCCGCCCGAAACGGGTATGTTTTTCTGGCCTCAGGTTGATAAAAGAGTAGGAATTTTCTAGTTAAAGTTTATGAAAGGGCTTGGGCAATCTGTCACTTCGGTCTGTAGAAAGGCTCAAACAGATGCATTTTATTACACGTGTAAAAGTCCCCCAAACGTTTTGGTTTTGTGATTTATTCATAAATTAATAAAGACGGTGCATTTACAGCAGTTTAAAGGGATGCAGAGTTCTAAGCTGGGTCAGATATCCTCTCTTGGCTACGTATGTGAAAGGGGTACCATTTATCGGCGATAGGAGGTAAACGAGAGGGGTACCTTTTCTGTCAAAAATGGTAAAAAAGGAGTTAGACCTTTGGGCGGAGCATCCCCGTATAAAACTTTGTTAATCCTCCGAGCTCATGTTTCCGTGGTCTGCATGGGTACTTTTGTGTAGTTTAATCGGTCCGGGTGATAATCGTGGCCTCTGTACGCATTGCGCACGTCTTGTTTATGTTAGTCGAACCGGTTCTTTTTTCTCTCATTAAGGAAAAAAAAGTTTTGTGCGCGCACACCGATAACCCATTGCTGGTTGGAGACCAGGCTATGGGGAGTGTACGTTTTGTCTACCGAACCTGGATCAGCCTTTAATCCCAACCTCCCCTCCCCTGCAAAAGCAACAGTTTAATAGCACATCATCACGTGACCAAATTAGTTCACGGCAGCAACAAGGCGGAAGCGATGGTGGTAAATGAGGTTCTTGCACTCGCTTTATTGAGCTTTCTGCCTCACTTAAGGTACGTATAACTTCTTTACTTAAAGAAATACAAAGTAGAGCTTATTTTTAGGCAATGGAATAGACTAATTCATGCTTATTCTCCGATCACTGTGCTGGATTATTGTCTCCATCGATACGTACCCACGCCGTCGCGCGCGTTTAGCTAAATTAAGCTTACATTTGTTTGGAAAATTTTGATTTTCAAGTGCAATCTGTGGATTAAATCTCATTACTTTATCATTTAAATGCAAGCTTTACGAAGAAAATGTTTCTTTATTTCAGTTTGAGGCGTTATTTTACGCAAATAAACAAATGAGATACAGTTTATGTCTTGCATATATATGCTTAGCATTCTATTACTAAGCTTACCATATAACTGGTCTGGTTGGATCGACTAGTTAAGTTTCCTTCATTTTATCAACAAAAGTCAAGGTGCTTCTACCTCTGGCTTTTCATTATGCTCAATCTTTTCCTTTGCAATTGGTCAGCAGCGCCTCTGCATGTCACATGAAACAGAGGCTTTGGTTTACCTCCCCCCCCTTTAAGCATGGGGTCTAATTCCCCCCCAACCCCCTCCCCCAGAAGACTGTGGTTATCAAATTCCACCACCTGAATGGCAAAGGTTTCAAGCCCAATTGCATTAAACAGCCATGTGGGTACTCATCACTCATCATAAAATAGGATAGAACACTTATAAATCAGGCCCTGGTTGTTAAAATGTTGGATAACGCTATCCATCAGATAAATCTCTATTCAGCTGATAGCGTAATTGATTTCTGTAATACTTATGTGCTGTATAGTGATTTATCCGGTGGGTAGCGCTATCCAACGTTTGAACAACCTGGGCCAGCTATGGGTACTCTTAAGGTAAGGTACGCTTTTAAAATGTTATTGAATGGGTTATTCCAGAAAGAATCCACACCCCCACAATGGAAGGCATGGTTTTTTGACCCCCTCTTCCACCTAGATTTCCAAAACTGCTTGAGCCCCCCCCCCCCCCCCCCCCCCCCCCCCCCNCATCTTCTTTAACAGGCTTACGCTTTTGCAAATAAGCTCATATTTGAGTGAACTTCTCTTTTTTTCTAGAGCAGGCCAAATATATAGCAATATATACAACAATAAAGCTCAAAACTAACTATGTCCTCGAATAAATGGTTTTCTTCTTCATTGATAAAAAATGACGGCGAAAGAAAGAAAAACCTGGACACTTAGTGGGATATTACATGTCATGCTATAGTGCTTGCCATGACACTTGCTTTTCAAAATGGCTGCCATGTATGTTTAGGTTCAGAGCCCCCCTTCCATCTGGATTTCCAGAGCCGTTAAGCCCCCCTTCGGTGAGATTTTCCAGCATGCCTTCCGTCGTGGGGGTGTGGATTTTTTGTGGAATAACCCAATAGAACATACTTCCTGCCTTTTGGGGTACAATGTAACTGTCTTAGAGGCTCACTTTAAGACACCTTTAACTTTGTCATAGTTACTTAGCTTGTAAAATGACTGACTCACTTTTACATCTGATGTAAATTATGAGTAGGTTTATAAGTGCAGCTTTAGATCAAGTGAGCAGCTGTACCCGTTTTCTAAGATTTCTTATATTGTCTTCAAGTGCTTCAGTCCATGGTTGTTCTCCATATATCTTCTTAATGTCCTTTTCTCTATCTCATCTTTCAATAACATTGTCTGACTAATATGTAGAAAGGCTTCTCCAAATAATACTGGGGAGGGAGGGGTACCAGCAGCTGAACAGTGATCCCGAATGAAGACAGTTGACTGAAACATGCTGGATTTGCGAGATCTTTTTTCTTTTTTTTTCGTTTATGCATATTATTGATTATTTAAATTCACTGTAGGCAATGACATCGAAGATACCAGAGTGTTCAATTTGCTTTGAACATTACAATGACCAAAGCAAGTGTCCTCGGCTTTTGAGTTGTGGACACAGCTTCTGCTCAAGCTGTCTGGAGAGACTTCTCCATGGTAACAACATTGATTGTCCCACATGCAGAAATCCAGGTGCTGTTCCTACTGGAGTGGAAGGACTGTTAAAGAATTTTGCATTATTGGACATTGTGAATGACACACCCAAAGAACACATTGGGAGTACAGGCTTGCTTGATTGCGAAGCTTGTGATGAGAAACACCCTGCGAATTTCAGCTGCCTTGACTGCAAAGAAAACATGTGCAAAACTGCAGCTCAGTTTCATACTCGCAACAAGGCAAGTTTCGATCATCAAGTTGTCTCCCTTGAGGAACTGGAAGCAAACCCTCAGCTTGCTTCTGTTTCCCTCATATGCCAAAAACACAATGATAAATTCCGTTTTTTTGATGAGAAATGTGGTCATGCAGTTTGTAGGGAATGCGTCGCTCTTGAACACTTTGGTCACTTGTGTTTACCACTTGCTGAAGCTGCCTCAGAGTATGTAAATGAAGTGAAAGATTTAATAAAAAAGACTAACGTGGAAACTGGATCAGCGGTTGAATATGAACTGGAAATGGCTCGACTTGAAAAGGAGGTGGGATACCTACAAGGCCTCCTTAAAAAGGTAAAAAAAAGTTAGAATAATTATGTGTTGTTTGTGTTAACTTATTGTTACATGCTGCCAAAGTTAGAATTCAATTCATTTTTTTCACATTTTTCTAAAACTGAGCATCTCTTTGGGTATTTCCAATGAAATCAAAGTCATCACAATTGCTATTAATGAAATAATAATCCCTTTAAGAGATTAATGTAATAATCGTGTTGCCATTCAGATCAAGTTTCAAGTTTGACATTTTGGACAGTGTTGGCTCTTTTTGGGCAGATAGTGATCAGAAAAATAACAAATGGCTGTTATGGAAGCTGAGGTACATGTACCATTGACAGGAAGAAATAATTTCCGTAAGATGAAAGTTTGAATACCGAGCGGATCTCCTCTCCTCTCACGTTAAAACTTGTAACAGAAAATGCATGTTCTTAGCCCAAGGTGACAGAGAGTAACAGGCTGGCATCACCATTCTATTACAAAAAGTTTTAAAGGCTTGTTTATGGTGGAAAGTGCAGTCAGCTTATCCAGCTAGTTTACAGGCACTCCACTCAGATACTTAATAGAAACAAATAATTCAAACACAACATAACAGGATTAAAAACCCAACTGGCAGAAGGCAACCAGTGGCTGTGGATTTGAACTTGGGATGACTGAGAACAAATCTAACAAGTCCCAAGAGCGGGAATAGAACCCAGGACCTCCGGATTGCGATTCTGACACGCCGACTTCTCGGCCACACTGCCATTCCATTCCCTTCGCTTATATTCTTTGGAGGGTATTTTGCATTAGTATATACTTAAACAGTGGATAGTGTTTTTCGCGGGCTCTGATTGGCTACTGAATCAGTGAATATCCTGCACTATTCACTGATTCACCTCCAGTTCCTCCAAGCGAGCGACGCCAAACTCGCGTAGGTTGTGAGCAAAATGCTTTCCTGGTTTGCTGCTATGACAAACAAAGAAACTTCACAACTAATCAAGCAAGCTATTTCCGAAATACATGAAGAAGGAGACAAAGTTCGGTTTGTAAGTTTTAATAGGTAAAGCTTTGTCTTTTTGACTTGAATAGTTATCGATAAAACCAGTGAAAACGTTTTTTGTTTACAAATGCAAATTAAGCTTAAGTCTTGCGTTACGTTATTTGGTTGACTTGTTCATAAATAAGCTTAAACCTAAATTATTTTAATAATCTTTTTTACAGAATTATTTTAAATACAAACAGAATTCACAACTCCTTTTGAAGAAACTTCCTGCAAGAGCTAAACAAAAACTGGGACTGGGCGCCAAATGGAGTAGTCGTGTTTTTTTGTCGCTCCGACGCTGCCTTGCCGTTTCACTATATCAGTTTCAGGAAATTAGCCAAATCAGCCTCAAACTATTTAGAGAATCTTTGCTTTTCCTTTCCGTTATGCCCAACGAAAAGCGAGCGAGACAAGTGGCATGCTTAAGCAGTGAAGATGAAAGAACGCCACCACATAAACATGAGGCCGGCGCCGCCATCTTGGAAAGCATACACGAAAAGCTAAAGAAGCTAGACGTGCTTGAACAAATAAACGGAAGACTGCTGAAGATTGAAAATACCGTTGGTGACATGGAAAGAGGACTTAACTCTATGACAGCAGAACTGCAGAAGGTAAAAACGGATTTAGACTCAAAAGCAGATAACGCCACTGTCGATGCGCTGAAGGATGAAATCGAAGAATTACAAAACAGGTCAAGAAGGAACAACTTAGTCTTCTACAATATACCAGAGAAAGCCGAAAAAGGAGATTGCATCTCTTTTGTACAGGATTTTATTACGCAGCATATGGGCCTTGAAACGTTATGTGGCCATGTTGAGCTGGAGAGGGCACACCGCACGCCAAGCAAAACGCCTTCTGCTGGTGAAAAGGGTCCCAGACCAATGCACGTCGCTTTTCTTCGATACACGGATAAGATGAAGGTACTAAGGAATGCCGCCGCTCGTCTAAAGGATAACCCGTTAAACGGAAATGCCATCGGTATAAGTGAGGATTTCGCCAAAAAAACCCAACGGCGGAGGCAAGAGCTCGTGCCCTACAGAAAGTTTCTAAAGAAGAAACTCGGAGACGACCGGAAAGTCTACATCGCATATCCTGCAATACTCAAATATGTCGATGCCAATGGCCGTCACAGAATCGTAGGAACAGAAGAACTAGCAAAACTACGCCATGAAATGGAAGAGGCAAAGAGTTAACCTAGCAACGCCGTCGGAGTGATACTGACCAACAACAACTTTAATCTCACATTCTACCCATTGTTGGAGTTAAAAGAACTTCACAGGCAATGCCTTTAATTTGTTTCATAAAAGGTAATTTTCGTTTTTATGTTGTAAGTGATGTAATGTTTTCTCCAGGCTTTAGCTTAAGAAGGCTTCTGTATTGTGAAACTATTAAGATATCGATATTTATTCGTTAATATGAATAAGTTAACTTTTATTACGTTAAATGTTAGGGGTTTAAATAGTTCAAGAAAACGAAGAGCTATTTTTCGGCAACTGCACGTTAACAAGTACTCAATAATTTTCTTGCAAGAGACATATAGCTCTACTGACCAAGAAAAATTATGGAGTAACGAGTGGGGTAGTAAAGTGTACTTCTGTCATGGTAGTAAACACAGCAAAGGAGTAGCAATTCTGTTTAATCCTCGACTCAAAGTGCTAGTAGAAAATGAAATTTGTTGTGAAAACGGCAGGATTCTTATCCTGCAGTTTTCTATAGATGATCAGAAATTTATTTGTGCCAATATTTACGCACCCAATAATGATAACGCGCAAATTATATTTTTTAAACAACTCAGATCTTTACTTGAACAGTTTCCCAACGACAACATTATAGTAGGTGGCGATTTTAATTGCCCTCTTTCCAAAACCGATAAAGAAGGAGGACGTGATGTTTCGTCAAGAAGGAATGTCGCCAGCGAGATCGAGCAACTGATGTGTATTTTGGATTTAGACGACGTATGGAGAACGCTACATCCAGAAGAAAAACAATTTACTTGGCGAACATCTGACTTGAAAATAAAATGCAGATTAGATTATTGGCTAATAGCCCGTCAACTATTACAAAATTCCCCCGTGCAGAAATGTGAAATCAAGCACGCTGCACATTGCGATCACTCTTTAGTGACGTTGGAATTGCCAATTAATGAGAAATACCCAAGAGGTCCTGGATTCTGGAAATTCAATTCCTCCCTCTTAGAAGATGATGAATATGCAGAAAAATTAATGTTTAAAATTCCGCACTTTATAAACAAGTATCAGGATCTTGAAGATCACGGACTCTTATGGGAGTTGATTAAAATGGAAATAAGGGCGTTCACAATTAGTTATTCAAAACAAAAAGCTAAAATGAAAAAAGATTATGAAAAAGATCTCGTACAGGAAGTCTCAAGACTGGGAAATATGGGTGAAAACTGCCCATCAGCAGAAGCCGTCCAGAGATACATTAAAGTTAAGAACGAATTGGATAAGATTTCCTACGACCGGGCAAGAGGAGCATGTGTGCGCTCCAAGGCCCGTTGGCATGAGTTCGGCGAACGAAGTTCGAAATATTTTCTTAATCTTGAGAGACGAAATTATGAAAATAAATGCATTACCAGCCTTATACAAGAAAACGGAAGCAGTATCACGGACCCAAAGGAAATCCTAAAAGAACAAAAAAGATTTTATCAATCCTTATATTCCTCGCAAAATCCTCAAATAAACGATCCTAAATTCAAAGTGTTCTTCGATAATGACAAGGTAGAAAAGCTGAATGATGAACAAAGAAAGAATTGCGAAGGCTTGCTGACGGAGAATGAGTGCTGGAATGCTTTAAAATGTTTCCAAAAAAACAAATCCCCTGGCAATGACGGTTTTACTGCCGAATTTTACAGCTTCTTCTGGAGTCAATTAGGCAAGATAATGGTAAACAGTTTTAATTATGGATTCCATAAAGGTGAGCTGTCAATTTCTCAAAGACAAAGCATCATACGTCTTATTCCAAAAAAGAACAAAAATTTATTGTATCTTAAAAATTGGAGACCTATTTCACTTTTAAATGTGGATTATAAGATTGCCTCTAAAGCTTTAGCTCTCAGACTAAAAAAGGTTCTATCGGCAGTTATAAATAACACACAAACTGGTTACGTAGAGGGAAGATTTATCGGTGAAAACATCAGACTTATAAGCGACATCCTCAATTTCACCGTTGACCAGGACATAGAGGGAATTGCTTTATTCATCGATTTTGAAAAAGCATTCGATAGTTTAGAATGGGAGTACCTATTTAAAGCTCTAGATACCTTTCAATTTGGACCCGACTTTAAGACTTGGGTGAAAACTCTGTACACAAACATTTCTAGCTGCATAATAAACAACGGCTTCGCCTCCGAGTCATTTACTTTAAAGAGAGGAGTAAGACAAGGCTGCCCTTTGTCTGGCTTGTTGTTCATTTTAGCCGCAGAATTACTGTCTTGCTCAATAAGAGCTGATGAACATATAAAGGGAATTCGAGTCCTAAACAAAGAAATAAAATTATCTCAATATGCCGATGACACCACCTCCTTTTGCAAAGATAAAGAGTCGCTTGGGAAACTGTTAGAGTTATTAGACCTATTTAAAGATTGCAGCGGTTTAAAGCTTAACCAAAGTAAATCTGAAGCAATGTGGCTTGGAAAAAACCCAAATAGGACTGATACACTATTTGGAGTTCAGTGGCCACAAAGGCCTATCTCCGCCTTAGGGATATCATTCTCTTACAATCTAAAACTTTGCGAACAGGAAAATTTTTCACAAAAGATATGTAAAATTCAAAAGCTGTTTAATATATGGTCTCAAAGAGATCTCTCACTTTATGGCAAGATAACAATCGCCAAAACATTAGGGCTATCGAAACTTATCTTTGTAAGTTCGTGCATACATACACCGCCTCATTATATAGATATCACTAATAGATTGATTACAGATTTTGTCTGGAATAACAAGAAACCAAAGATAAAAAGGGATACTCTTATAGGTCCAAAAGAAAGAGGAGGGCTGGATTTACCAGAATTTGAGACTATATCCAAGTCGTTACAAAGTGCTTGGGTTCAAAGAATGAAGAATGGTGTAGAGGATCAGTGGATGTTAATTCCTTTATTTTATTTGAAAAATGTTGGAGGGCCATTTATTTTTGATTGTGATTATGATGTAAAATTTCTAGGCCTAAACAACTTACCAATCTTTTACGCTGATGTTCTTAACACCTGGGCGGAAGTCCGAGAGCAAACTTCGGACAATGAAATCTGTGTTGAGAATGTAATCTTATGGAATAATAAGCATATTTTAATAGACGGTAAATCAGTATATTGGAAAGAATGGCATGAAGCTGGTATACTTAGAATTAAAGACCTACTAGATGAAAAAAACAGATTCCTCACACTTAATAAGTTTCTTTTAAAAACTGGCCTCAAGGCGCCTTTTACTAAGTTATTTGGTTTAATATCAGCTATACCTTATAGATGGAAGTGCGCTTTGAGACCGGGATTTATCATGAACAATCAAGATATGGAACAAAATACAACTAAGGAAATTAACGTGGTTACTAGCAAGAAGGTTCGCAATATACTTATTCAAAGGAAATTTGTAGAACCGTTGGCTAGCCTTCGACTATGCAGGCAAGGATTGGACAGTTCCAAACTTAGTTCTATTTATATGCTTCCATTTAAAATAACTAAAGAAACAAAATTAAGCATATTTCAATATAAGATTGTTCATAATATTCTTCCACATGGGGTTCTGTTACACAGAATGAAAATCGTAAACTCTCCTCTCTGCATACATTGTGATTCCCTAGAAACGCTCTCCCATATGCTAGTTAACTGTATAGTAATTCAAAAGTTTTGGTTTGAAGTAATTAGCTGGTGGAAAACTCACAGTGGTGAATGTTTGCTATTTGATGACTTAAGTATAATGTATGGCTATAATCCCGAAGATCCTAAAAGGCAAATCCTTAACTATTATATCCTTCTTGGCAAGAGACATATCTTCCTGCAAAGGAGCGAAATTAAACCCCCAAGCTTTGATCACTTTCTTGAATTCGTTAAAGACAAGTTAATTGTACAAAGATCGATTTTTTATTCCAAAGGACAAAAAGCAAAATTTCTTTCACAATGGAAGCCTCTCCTCTCCTTACTGTAAATGATTATAATCTAATCTACGTATGCGTGAAGCAAGCCTGGTTGCAGTGTATGTTGTATTAATCGTTGGAATCTTAATTCTTAATTGTAATTTTTTGTAACCTTTAATTTTGTAGTGAAAGTGTTGTAAGTGATGTAGTGGTAATAAAGATCTCTGTTAAAAAAAAATAATAAAAAAAAAAAAAAAAAAAAAAATATCTCCAACACCTCTTCGTCACTGGATTTGTCAAAAACACTCTCACTACGGTGATTAAGATAATGTAAGGAGAGATTCTACATGTACTCTTTATTTGCCTCGAATTTCATTTCTAACTTTTAAATATTCCCTTTGAAGTTGTTTTAGCCGTAATTTAGATTGAATTTGCATTCAGACGTTTCAGTTCTTTTAAATTATATACCCATTTTACTTCAATTTTGACTTTTAAAAGAATATTAGTTTCTGAATAAATATACAGCTCAGTCACTGAATACCTGCATGTTTCGCCATTAAAATACCAACGGTTCGTAGTTTTTTTTTGTCATTTTAAGGAATCCTGAGCAAAGGTTAAATGGTTTCCAGTTAAGAGAAGTGCATTCAAAATTTAAACAGACCTATTAACGAGTGAATCATGAATATATGAACGAGGTAATTCCTTTATAGTTATTTGATGTCAATGAGTCCGGATGACGGCTTTTGGCAAAACTTCAGTTCAAAAGGCATACAAACAAAAAAAGAAAAGAAAAACTATATGGGCAATAAAATTCGTCACGCCGGTACTCGTAAACCCTAAAATCTTTTACTTCTCTTTATATTTTATTTAGATATGGGACAATTTTCCGCTATTCCGTCATTCCACCGTTCAGGGTCACGCAGGTCCAAGCTTTGTATTATTTTGACCGGACATTTTATGTGGCATACATAAAACATTTCCGAGGTTAGCAACAGCAAGTGGTAACATTTGCGCATGCGTCACGCTTTCTGGGAAGCACTTCTTATGTACCCAGACGATTCGTACCAAAAGTTGAGATGATTCGTACCCAAAGCTAAGATAATACGTACCCAAAGCTTACACAATTCGTACCCATGCAATAACCAAGTCTTTATGATTTAAACAGTGCGGTTAAGGCTTTTACGAAAACAGGGGATCGAAACCGCAGAACTAACCACAAGCAAGGACGTACTGATGGAGAGGTCGATTATGGGACGAAATAAATGTGTTTGTTTACGTCCGAATTTGCTGCATGTCTGAACGTCGACTAATCGAGGACTATTTGAAGAGCGATAGCATAAGAAGAATACGACCAGGTTAGTGACACAAGCCCCGAACACAAAATTGAAAGAGCGATTTAATACCACCGCAAACTTCCGTCCAGCGGCTCGCGCATACTCGCAACGTTACCACTTGCTGTTGTGGTTATGGTCGTCGGTCTGATTTCCATGAGTCAAATGACTGAAATTGTCACTGGAACAACATCAAAAGGGTGAAACTAAAAGGTGAATGTACAACTATACCTATAGCAGGGTAAGGATTGTTGTCTTTAAATCACCGGTTTTTATTCCTTCTAAAATATCCTGTTAAGAGTCAAACAACTATCAAAGATTAATGACAATGCAGCAATTCATTGAATTTAATGTATGTATGCATGTAGCTAAGCTTGAGCTTAAATGAAGCTTCAACATGTACATAAGTTCAAGTCCTGTCAACTCTTGTTGATAGTAACTGTAGCACTAACCGAGTTGAAGTTTTTTAATGTTTATGACGAGAAGATCATGCGACCAATTCACTTCCGGCTTTAAACACTGTTTGAACTGGCATCAAGTCTCACACAGTAAGCTATCAGCAGAGATTCCAACACTCCCGTTTTGGCCGGAAATCTCCCGTTTTCGCTTAATATTCTCCTGGTTTTCAAACTCTTCCATTTCTTTGTTTAACTAGTCTTGTTAGCGTGCTTCCTTGCCGTTTTTCTGTGGTATCTCAGCGGTTTCCGTGGTTTCTCTGTGGTTTCTCAGCCAATTTCACCCTTTTGGCATCCGACCATGAGCGTGCGACAAAAGACCTTGTCACGGTTTTCGACGCCATCTTGACGAGTAGGCAAACACATGAGAAATTACAGTGTTTGTATGAGAATCTAATGTTGAATAACTTCCGTAGAATGGCTGTTCTGAAAAAAATATGATGTGTAAACTAAAGCTCCACTCCTAAGGACTCTCCTGAAGACATTTGAGGGCGTTACATGCACTAGAAGACCTAGAACCACTTTTTAAAATTTTCTATACATTTGTCTTTAAGAAAGTCCCAGGAAAATTACAGACAAATATATGGAAAATCTAAAGCAAGCCTCCGGAGAAATTTAAGCACAGGTACGGCCCAAAAATTTTTTTAGGACAATCCTTTGCTTTGTAGCTTTAGTTTACAATTGATATTTTTTTCAGAACAGCCGTTTTATGGAAATTATTCGACATTAGATTCTCATACAAATACTGTAATTTCTGACGCGTTTGCCTACTCGTCAAGATGGCATCGAAAACCATGACAAGGTCTATTTGGGGCGCAGTATTTCCACTGACTGTGATCTCAAAATGCAGGAAATGGCATCTTAGGCCCCGTCCACACGAAGATGATTGTAAACACAAACGCTAGTAAACGCATATTTTTATCTCCGTCCACACGAAAACGATCATCGTTTATGCAGCGTTTTAACCCGTCCACACGAAAACGCTCGTAAACGCATAAAACGATGTCATACACCGAACATGCATGCGCTATCGATTTGTCGGACGTTAGAAACGAAGTCGCGGAACAATAGTTCACAATCGCAGGTACAACAGTTCAGTGGTGCACGCAAACAACACTAGGAGAGAGAAGAAAAATGTTGAAGTCTGCTGGCAAGAAACCGAAAGAAAAAAGTGATAAAACTAAGGCAGACAACTTTGTTTGGACTGACGATGAAGTACAGCTGCTTTTAGAAGTTACATATGACTACAAGGTGTTGAAAGCGGTGAAAAATATCGACTGGGACTAAGTCGTTTTACTCGAGTAAAAGTGCTTGTAGTTGTGGATAACGATCTTGAGAGGTTTAGTCTTCTTCTTTTGTAGTTTTCCTGTATATCGATTATTGCATGATTCAATTGAATGCTCGCAATTATGCTTGAAATAAGTGCAAGCATGACACAGCTCAACACTCGTGTGTACGCCATCTTGGAAACGCACCCAATAAAAGAGACTGGCGCTGACATCTGATGTCAGCGTTTTCACAGCGTTTACGAAAATATACGTTTACGACCGTCCACACGGAGACACATAAACGGCGTTTTCAAATTTATCCACTTTGGAGAGCGTTTTCGAATTTATGCGTTTACGGTGAGCGTTTTCATAGTCTTCGTGTGGACGGAAGGCCTAAACGCATAAAAAAGTTTGCGTTTACTAGCGTTTGCGTTTACAATCGTCTTCGTGTGGATGGGGCCTTAGAGGCACAAATCTTAAAATTTTTGGCGGGGGAGCACGCTACCAGACCCCCTAGAGACTTGCACCTTCGGTGCTCATGGGAGCAGCTATGCCACTTCTAAAACCTAACTACAAGGTTGGAATCTCTGCTTATGTATTTTAAAGAATAAACAAGCTTTTTTATTATTCAGTGGCAATTAATGGGCACCAAGATATTTTGATGAATAGTATAATGCAACCGCACACTGATTGTTGACCAACTTACCCAATTCCCAGCTGTCCCCCCTCCCCCCGCACTGAAACGATTCACCTACTACACTTGGTGGCTCAGTAAATAGGCCATCTCCAAGTTTCATATCAATGGCCTCGCATGCATGGTTCAATTTGACCTATTACCACCCCTCTGGGCAACCCCTGGGAGAAGTCCAGACGTTTGGGCCTGAGGGTGGGGAACTGGTTGAAGCATTTCTGTCCCAGTTGTAGGGGGTGGGGAAAATTGCTTTGCCTTTGCAAAGTATGTGACATTTCTTGCACAGTTGACTACATATTTTCAAGGAAAAAAAGAATTTGTCGGAGAATGGTTGAAGAAGGAATAACCTATCAATATTTAAGCCTGTATTTGCAGGTATGTATGGTACAGGACCAGTCATTATGCATTTAATATTAATTTTTTATTTTCCTTTCTAATCATCAGCCATGGCTGCCTCATCTGATCATCTTGAGACTATGAAAGCAACATGGAGTCTGGACAATCCTGAGGTTTATCCCATTTTTCCTAGCTATTTTTCATAAATCACTACATTTTACTCATATTATACTATACCGTTGACATGTTGGCAAGATCCAAGAAGTTTATGATTATGCATTGTTTGTTTGGTGGATAACTTTGATTTATTCATATGGTCACTTATGCATACACCTAATTGAAATCTAAGTGTTGCATATTTAAAAAAATGAAGTGACAAATACATGTCAATTCATTAATTTGGCATATTTGTCACTTTCATAACTTGTATAACTTTTGGATTTAAAACAAATCTTTCATACTACAAGACTCTAAACTCTAAATGTAAGGGGGTGTTTACATGACACAAGAGACTTTTGCCTAGGAGTGAGTTCACTGTCATGGCTCTATATTTGTTTACATGATACCACCACAAAATGTCATGCCGGCACAAGTCACCTCGGCGTGAGTTCACCCCGGTTCTTGTACTGGGGCAAGAATTTCACTCCGGTACGAAATCTCGCAACGGTATCATGTAAACGCAAAACGTTCACCCGTTTCGGTATGAAATTGGTCTCCCGGTAGACTGGAATGGGTAGTGCATTCGTAATGTTGCGATTTTGAATGACATGTGTATTTTATCATCATGAAGTGTACCTTCAAATAATGAGATCTGAAATGACCAAGTCATTATATAAATGAGATACGAAATCAAAAAGTCATCGCGGAATGAAACTCGCACCAGTGTGAATTTTCTCATGTAAACACCCCCTAAGCTGTAAATTTATGAAAGTGCATGACTGGTTTGAGACTAATAATAAAATTTGGAAGAAATAATATTGATATGCTTGATTAATTCCTACTTGAATGAAAGGGCAAGTTTCTAAAAACATTTGGGGGATTCCTTGGGTGGGGGAGTGAATTATGAAAATTTGGCCATTCTGCCTCTATATTGCATCAACTTAGTTGATTAAAACAAATTTTTGTGTAAGTTGCAATCAATTTGTTTGTTTCATTTTAATTTTTTTCCTATGACTGTTGCATTATTAAAATTAGGTTTATCTTCAAATACTAGTCCATTAACACTGATTAATATAGACATCACTTATTGATAACTTAACTGCAAAAAGGTCTTATACATGTAAAGAAGCCATTTTGCCTCCAAACTAAATACACATAAGCTCTCTTTTTGCCCAAGACCAAGTACATGTATCATTTAAGAAACTTAATTATTATCAACGTGAAGATTTGGGATCAATGTGAAGATTTAGATTATACAAATGAAGTAGGCATGGTGATAGAAAAAAAGAGGCTGAGTGGTTAGAGCTCTGGACTTGTGATTTAGAGGTCACGAGTAAAAGCCCTGCACCAACCGCTACCTGGTTTTTTTCTTCGTAGTCCCGAGTTGAAATCCTCAACCACGCTTGTAAAATAGGCAACTGGTTTGCCACCAGTTGGGATTTTTAACCATGTAATGTTCCATTTAAATTATTTAGTTCATTATCCCTAAAGAACCCCATTATTATTATCATTATCATTACTAAACCAGAAAAATCAACAGTTTACAATGTATTAAAACAGTAGTCTGTTATCAAACCTGCCATGTCTTTTGGGTCAAAGGTCTCCTAGCGATTCACTGTTAAAGTCGTTGTTTTGTAGGTTTGCTATACTGAGACCAGTGTTCCAGTGTTACATGTTACTCTTCTTTGTGGTGAGTGGAGTTCATCTGCTGGTGGGTTGTCAACAATAAACAGAGAGCTTGCTATTCACCTTTCAAAACATTCCACGGTGAAGGTTTCTTTACTAGTCCCAGTGGGAGCTTGCAACACTCAAGAAATAAGAGAAGCAGATGGCTATGGAATCACCATTGTTGAGGCGAAAGAACGTGTAGCATATGATCGTCTTGATTGGTTGATCATCCCACCCCAGGACCACTTCATGGACATCGTTGTTGGCCATGGTGTAAAACTTGGTCGACAAGTGCAATTCATCAGAGACTCTGCTCAATTTCCAAATTGCAAATGGGTGCAAGTGGTTCACACTGCTCCAGAGGACCTGAGCAGATACAAATGCTACACTGACCCCATTTCAAAAGGTGAAACAAAACACGAATCAGAAGTTGAACTTTGCAAACTTGCTGATCTTGTTGTGCCTGTGGGACCCAGACTGAAAGAAGTCTACTCTTCATGTTTACAGCGATGTAAGACAGATCAAGACGTTTTGTCCATTACTCCAGGCCTTTTTGAAAGAGAGTTTTTGGATTTAGTGTCAAAACAAGATCATAAAGAGGATAGCGAATTTAAAGTGTTGTTATTTGGTCGTGGGGATGATGAGGACTTTGAACTCAAAGGTTACAACATTGCTGCCAAGGCATTTACTGATCAACGGCTACAAAATAAATCTTATCATCTAGTCTTTGTCGGAGCACCTAAAGGGAAACAAGAAAAAGTCAGAGAAAAACTTCTTCAGGGTGGTATTGCAGAAGCACAGTTGACTGTTAGAAAATTTATACAAAGCAGAGACAAACTGAAAGATTTGCTGTGTGAAGCTGACCTTACCATCATGCCATCAAAATCAGAAGGATTTGGTCTTGTCGCACTTGAGGCCTTGTCTGCAGGTTTACCCATTCTTGTAGGCAGTAGGTCAGGATTTGCCAAAGCATTAGAGAATGTTCCAAATGGTTATTCATGCATCGTGAATTCAGATGATCCTGCAAAATGGGCAGAAGCAATAGAAGCTGTACGTACTAGGCATCGAATGCGGCTGGAAGAGATTAAAGTACTGAGAGCTTCTTATGGGGAGATGTACAGTTGGCAGGAGCAATGTGAAGCCCTTGTGAACAGACTTTGGAAAATGAGTCATGGTAAGAAATATACCCCTTTACAATCCTAAACGATTACTTTCCTAAGAAATCACCTTCCAGTGTTGTCATTTAAACTGCCACTGAAGGACGTCATACAAAGACAGTCAGTTTGGTGTTGGGCACTGAAAATCATGCGAAAAAACTGGGTACTTGAAATTTGAGACGCCTTGTTTTCCTTTATAATAAGACTAATAATTTAGCTCAAAGCTTGAAAGAGCTGGCTGTATAACCGAGTAGGAAACGTTTTGGAATAAAATCCTAAAATGGATCTACAGTACTTTAAAAAGTTATGACGCTAGTTTTCAATTACAGCGCATTTACTCTGAATTCCTATTGCTTTTTGAGCTTAAATGTTTTGTGCACACCTTTTCAAACTGTATCGGAAGTTGTCAAAGTGGATTCAAATACATGAAAAGATCTGTGATGTGTAGAATAAGGGTCTCCACCATATTTAAGGGTCACAGTTGTCTGTGAACGTCAAAATTTATTTTTAGTGTTACATGGGACGTGGTTCCACACGGGTGGTGGAGATGTGAATGGGTTGCAAAAACATATACATTATTGTGAAAGGTTTGAATCCAGGAGTCATTTCAAAAGTAGGTTGAGTTTGATCGTCCGGGCGAACGTAATCCTGAATAGGACTGTAGTTGTTGACAGTGACTGGCGTTTCGACAACCTGTGCGGTAGTCATCTTCAGAGTCAAAGTGAGTTGTATCATGTCAGTTGATGGTATTATACTCCGGTTATTGACCTGATTGGTCAATAAAGTCGCAATGTTACTGCTCGTCTGTCAGTTAAGCCGTGATGTTATTGGCTATGAAAACTCGTAATGTCGCTGGTGCGTTTCGATCCGTCTATTGTCACAGTTAAACAGACGTCTATTGTTAGTCAAATTGCCAGTTAACCAGTCGTTCTCTCATGGGAAGTTTTGTTTGATTCCGTCAGTAAGTCGTTCGTACGGTGCTGGTAACTGTTGTCTAAGATTCAATGACGTTTGTTCTAAGTTGGTAAACCAGCCTTCTTAAGTGAATCGTTGGTAGTAGTCTGCAGAATACGTTATACATGTTGCAGAGTCCCAGTCGACATGTTTCGTCTATAAACGGTGCTCAGCAATGTGCTTTTTGACGTCACCATTTCTCGTCGCTCGTTTGTGTTCGGTCAGTCGCGTACTAAGGTTTCTGCCGTTTTCACCAATGTAGGTAGCTTGACAGTCGCAGCATTTGATCTTGTATACTGCTCTCTGTCTGTCTTCCGGTGGTTCTCGTAAGATGAGATGATAAGATGTCAACTGTAATTTTCCCTGGAAACACTTTGGTTTATTTCCCGTTTTTAAAAATTCTATCTCTTCTACAAGTCATCAAGTAGGCCATGAGCTTTTAAAACAATGTCATATTTTCCTTTAAAGACAGCCGCCTGGATCAGATTAAATCCAGGTTCTTGATCAACATGTAAGAAAGCTTTTCTTGAGAGTATCCTTGGCTGACCTATAATAAAAATGATGATGTTCATGAGCGACAAAAATAGAGATGGAATTCGTTAGACACATTTCATAGTACTTTTTTGGGAGATAATAAATAAACGGTGTTCCCCTGTATTACAATGGACACATTTTGAGTTTAAAAAGAAAGATAAAAAGGAAATGGCCAACATAGTAAGACATATATAATGGTAATAACGATAAAAGACTACGCTATGATTTTATGCCCAGGATCTATAATCTTATTCTTGTAGCGGAGCTCCACGCGCGCGCGAACGTAGCCCCATACCTAAGAAAATGTGGTAATCTACCTATCCGAGAAAGTTTGGTAATCACGTCACCGTACGCCCGACTGACCGTCCGTTCGCACCACAGGCATACCAATGTAAAATAACTCAGTCAACAGGTATGGCAACCCAAATGCAAGTTGAGTTTATTTTGGCGGGAAATCGCGTAGCTACCCGCGTCGGAAAGATCGCGGCCACAGTGAAAAATAGATGTCGCTCTTTTTTTGTGTGCGGTAAGCCTAAGGTGTGTAATGAAATGAAAAGAGGTTAGTTTTTGAAAATATTCTTTTTAACAGCCACAAACAGTAAAAAACCGTCTCGATCTAGAAATTAAAATTTCACTGGTTTAAACGTGAAATTACGTGGTTTTCAGGAAGTCTTTATTCGGACCCAAAAACTAAGTTGAGACCTTTTCAACAAAAGTTGTGTACACAAGGTCTTCTTTTTAAAAATAGTAATATCTGTGGCTTAATGCTTTTTATAAGCAAATCAATAGTGGATTTGTAAACAGTATTTTCGGACGTAGGGACAACCAGGCGAAACATGCTTCCGAACAACTCAACAAGGAATCCATGTGGTAGTGCTCAAAATTAACCAAACTTCATTCACGTATCCTTAACGGATGATTCTTTGTACATATAGATCGTTTTCACCGTCACGCAACAAAAAAATTAATTGAAAACCGTCCAGTGGACGAAGCCAAGAAAACGAAATGTTATGAAAGACTACTAAAGTATAAACAATTTGTCCAAGTCTCAGGTCTTTGTGACCCACAGTTTCTGAGTTATTTGCCGAAACGTTTCACGCACTTTGTAGAGCTTTGTATTGGTTTACACTTTTGATACACCAATATAGCCGCCTGAAATCAACAAAAACGTCTGGAGTTCACGTTTTCTACAAACGCTCTTTCTTTTCACTCGAGAACTAGCATACATGCGCGTTAACATATCTTCTAATACCTGAAATGGTTATACTGCTGAAAATCAAGAGGAGACACTTTTTTTCAACGAGATAGCGTTCCCATTTTGGTGTCACGCACTGTGAAAAGTCGGAAATTCAAACTGCTGTATTTTGGAAATGAAACATGCTTCGGGAATCGACTTGCACAAAGATTTATTTTTGTTTATCTTCAACCTAGTGTAAATAAGAATTCAACCCGTGAGACTTAGCAAAATCAGCAGACTTACCTGCTGCTGTTTCACCCACAGCGGTTAAAGGTGTCTTTAGTGTATCGAGGACACTGAGTAGGCTTACATATCGGGGAGTGAGCGACGTGTTGTTTTCCACATGGAGCCACTGTTGCCTTTGTTAGCCATCACCTGTTGATTGTAATAGTCGCGTTCTGCCACTTTATAGAAAGTTTAATATCCCGCCGTAGATCTATGAACGCTTACCAATCCTCCTGGGATTGGCAGGCGGTTGTTAGTATTTCAAAGTGATCCCATTTAATATTGTGGTCCGTTGAAGAAACATGATCTGCAATGGCAGAATTAAGTGACGGTCTTTCGTCAGCGCTTTAAAATGTTCAGTTTTCCTATCGTGTAATAGTAATAAAATAACAATAATAAATAATATTTAACGAAGAGGCCTTCAATCCTCTAACGGCGGTTTTCAGGAGGGTGCTCTAAAAAGGTGAAAAATACATAACTTAAAACTAAAGTACAGCTAAAAACCAATTCTGCAAATCAGCGCTTGGTCTTCCTGATATTGATATCATTGCAATTGCAACAGCTGGCCTTGTATACCACCTTAGACATGAGTGCGCGGCTAAGTCTGTCCTTGTAGGGAAAAAAAGATCTTATTCGGCAAGTGTTTCGGAAAATTACTTTGAGGCTAACAAAACCATAGAACCTGGAGACACTAATTTGAGTTGCTGTGTGACAACTTCACCCTGCAAACCCAAGTGAGGGAGAACGATGAAGACGTCTTTTTTGGGGACCGTGGTGATGGTATCCTGCGCTCTGTTACGGTGTCTGTTGAGAACATCATTCGTGTTATAAGTAATGATTCCCTGGGGGTAACCATTGCATGACAAAAGATTCCTCTGATCATCATCAAGGGCAGACTGTAGTAAAGTTTTTGATGAACGGATACAACGATAAGAAAGTGTGCGGATGAGATTAATCTTATACTTACGTGGTGTAAAGGAGTCCCATTTAGTGTAAACCCCAGTGAACGTTTTTTTGCGGTGAATAGATGTTGAGAAGGAATTGTTCTGATTGTGCTTGACAAGGACATCTGGGAAAGGTATTTCACAGTTCTAGTTCCATTTTACTGAAGGTTGTACCTTTACCTTGTTTTGGACAAAAAATGAGTCGAATCGATTTTTGGACCGTGGCCACGAATTTTCGAAAATTCTTTGATTTTTACAGACATTCACTCTTAAAGTGTCTCAAAAAATCCTGAGTCTTTAAGCCGGCTTTCCGATATTTGCTGTGTTTTTCTTCAAGATGAACTCGAGACAAGAAAATTGCTCAAAGCTTTCTTTTTATAGCCAAAATGATAACTAAACATTCTTCGGAACGTTTTCTTTCTATTTGCGGTGAGATTTTTAAGAGGCTGTCTCAATAAAAACCGCCCACTCAATTTCGCGTGAAAAATAATTTTGCCTGAAACTCTGGTGAGTGAAAGGCTTTATCGAGGCTATAACTAAAATAGGTTTGCTTTGATTCACAATAATTTTCTGGCCGCGCTGGGGGGCGCCGAGTATTTTGTCCCGCCATGGCCATTTTGCACGTCTTGAAAACTGAAAATTTGGTATTTTTTGCGGCGCTGTAGGATGTTTGATTTGCACCATCTACCAATGAATTTTATACCTTTTTATAGGTAAACATCTCTAGTTTTTCCTGAAAGAAATAGTTATCCGCTGAATTTAGCTGGAAAGACGAAATCAAGCAAAATATGACCCCAACTAATTGCCTTGGAGCGAAAGGCCAAAAATGACCCTGTTTTAAAAGCTTATTTCTGAATTTTGGGACATAGTTGAAAGCTCTAGACTAAATAGACGCAAAGATAGACCATCTGTTATTAATAATATACAAAACCCCATGTACGATTTCAGTATTTTTAAAGTTATGACCGTTTGTATCAACGCGTATGCGAGCTAATACGATATTTTCAGATTTAGCGTAACGGATCTACCTCAAGCAGATTTTGTCAAAAGTAAGGCTTACCTAATTCATTACTGGCACTGACTCACAAATTGAGCCATATTCCAATTCCTGAGATGCCGGACTCCATAAAATTCCAGTAAATGTGCTTTAGA